TCCTGCACATTTTTCCATTTTTGGTACAATTACCGGTACAATTCAATTCAAAATTTCAAATTTAAAAAGAGTAAATTTCATTTTTAGTCCTTAACTTTAATATTTTACATAATTTTCATCTTTTAGTTTTTTTATGTCCTTTTTTAGTATATTCTTCATATTTTTTTTAGTCCTTCTATCAATTACTCCGTTAAATTTATCTAAATATACGCTTTTTTAATCTCTTAATTTAAAATGGATGGACGAAAAATATGCATATATTAGAAGTTGAGGGATTAAAAATGATCATTTTAAACTTGTTTTTAATTTATAGAAATATAATGATTTTAAATATTAATATCTCTTATTTTATTTTAAAATTTGATATTTAATTTATAAAAATATATATATTTATAGCAATAAATCCGAAACGATATGTAAAAAATTTTAATATTCAATATATATCGTTACAATAACAAAATTGATACATATATCAGTACAATATTAACTCCTGTAACACTGCCACGATCTAACGTCTCAGTTATCTTTCGAAGAACAGCAATTGCAATATGCTTGGTTTGTTTTAAGTACCTCTCTGGTCCATTAGAGAAGTTGACAAGCGTTGAACAAATTTTTGTGAAATCATGAACTTAAAAGAGAAACGAAAGAGAATAAGCCATTAATTACCATGTATTCATACAGTAGATTAAGGCAACTGAAAATGAAAAATAAGAAAGAAATACGTAATGGGAAAACCTTTTTTTACGAGATTCAACGTGATAAATTACAAATTAATTGAAACTGAATATAATTTTCACATACAAAGAAATTTAGTATTAAAAAAAAACACCTACCCAAGAGAAAACAGCGTAACCGACTGAGCCCAATTCAATGAGATTGTCACCTCACCTCGCCGGCTTCAGGCATTTCATTTCACCAACAGCACTCTTCCCTCTAGCGGTCCGGCCACAGGTCAGGACACCGCTTCTCACCATGTCCAATACTAAAACTGAGAGCGAGACGCAGAACTCGAAGCTGAGACCAGAGAGAGAAGATTGAGAAAGTTCTAGCGTTGGGAATTCTAACAGCTTAATTAACGAGAGAGCGTAATTCGGGCCTTAACCATAAATAAATAAACGGTTTTTCTAATTATTTGTTAGACACGTCAATGAAGTAACAAATATATTATTTTTATAATTAATTTATATAAAAAATATAAAAAATAATTTTAATTTAATTAATTAATTAAAATTATTTTTTTAAACAGTTT